GGTGATCGGTATCGGTGATCGGTATCGGTGATCGGCCCTCATGGGTGATCGGTATCGGGAGGAAAAAACCTGATCGGCACATCTCTAGTACACACATTATACAGTATTATTATAATATACAGTATTAGTGCTAATGTTCAGACTAAATACCTACAAACTATGATTGTGGTGAATGTATAAGCAGTAAGCAGAAGTATACATATGGTATATATGCACAGGTTATGGATGGTTGCTAGAATGTGTATGTAGTATGCAATCTATAATTGTTCATGGTGCATGTGTATATGTGTTGTGTGTATCTGTACATGTGTATGTCTTCAGTCCATGATTACTTATGGGAGTCAGGAGGCAGAGTTCAGGAGTCTAATAGCTGTTGGGAAAAAGCTGTTCCGGTACCTGGTGGTTCTAGTCCTGAGGCTCCTGTCGCGCCTCCCAGAAGGTAGAAGGGTGAAAAGTTCGCATGCTGGGTGACAGGAGTCCTTGATGATTTTCCCAGCCCTATTGAGACAACGTTTCCCATAGATGTCCTCTATGGCAGGGAGTGGTGGTCCTGCTATGCGCTGGGCAGCTTTCACCACCCTTTGCAATGCCTTCCGGTCTGAAGCAGAGCAGTTCCCGTACCAGACTGTGATGCAGGTGGTAAGGATGCTCTCTATGGTGCAACGATAGAAATTCACCATTATGACTTGTGAAAGGTGGCTCTTCTTCAGAGTCCTCAGGAAGAAGAGGCGTTGGTAAGCCTTCTTGACCACCTTGGAGCAGCTGGTTGTCCAGTGGAGATCCATGGAGATGTGAACTCCCAAGAACTTAAAGCTATTCACATGCTCCACTGCTGTCCCTTTGATGTAAATGGGTGGGTGTGGGTCACCATCCTTCCTGAAGTCCACAATGAGCTACTTGGGTTTCTCAGTGTTGAGTAAAAGGTTACTGATGTTGCACCACTCAGCAAGATGATCCACCTCCTCCCTGTAAGCAGCCTCCTCGTTGTCCTTGATGCCCTTCTTCAGCTCGCCTCTGGCTGTACTGTAGGCCTGTGCGTCCCCTGATCTGAAGGTGATGTTCAATTAATCAATCAAATTTTATGTGTATAGCACATTTCAGCAGCAAGGCATTTCAAAGTGTCGTAATGTGGAGTTGATGGTGAGGATGAGGACGCTGAGACCCAGGATGTAAGATGAAAGTGATGAATTTTTTGAAAGGCTCACAGTCCGGAAAACAGGCAGCACGGCAGAGTAGCAAACAGCTAATACCGGTAGCACTGACAAAGACTGGGAAACGTGAGCTAGGCTAACCAGGACTTAGCAGTTCCACTGGAGAGCATTCAGAACAACAGGCGTGGCAGCAAATAACAAACTTAGACAGTGGTAGACAAGGACCTGACAAAGAACACAGACAACAGGTGAAACTAAATACACAGGGAGGGTAATCAAGGAATGAGACACACCTGGGAAGCAATCAACGGGGAAGACAGAACTGGGACAGGACTAAACACAGAAAACCTCAAAAATAACTACACAGAAAACACAGAACACAACACAAAGTGCTTTACATAATTAAAATAAAAACAGCATGTGACATTGAAAGAGAAAGACATTTTGAAAAAGATTAAAAAAGATAAAAACATTAAAACCCCTTTTAGGACTTCAGTTAAATGTTGTTTAACTGGGGCTCTAACCCTCTGGGACTTAAGTCAAAAACACCATTTGACAAGGACTCCAACCTCTAGTTTTTTAGTTGAAACGCCGTCAACTGGGACTCTAAACCCCATAGGACTTTAGTTAAACGTCATTTAACAAGGATTCTCACACCCCTAGATATAGATTCGTTGAACTGTGACATTTTCCGGGGGGGCTTTACATAGACAGTGTCATAATGTGAGGTACCAGGACTCTAAGGCAAGCAACAACTACGGACACCAAATGCAGTTTAACAGATTTATTAAACAATAAGGTGTAAATGGAGGGAGGATGGAGAGGTGTAGATCAGCGGCAGCAGGGAGGAACCGGGCCAGAGGAGGAACTGAGAAATGGGTAAGCGGTTAGACAGAGGAATAATGACGGGAATGATGGTGTAACCTGGTGATGGCTTACGGTTTGAGGGTTCAGATGAGCAGAGGAGGGTACAGCAGTTGGGGCAGTGAGGTGGAGGAGTTCCAGCAGGCAACTGAGGGTGGACAGGCAGCAGCAGGGTGGTGGTTGTGGAGGAATC